CTTCTGAGGGCGGTGGGGAGAACCCGTTCAGGACCCCTCCTGGTTTGTGGCAGCTTCGGGTGTTCCTGGGCTTGGAGACGGGGGCCTCCCTACGCCTCCACTTCACTTTCCCCTCTGTCCGTCTCTGCCCCTCTGCCGAATCTCTGCCTTTTTTGTGAGGACACCATCGTGTTGCTTTAGGGCTCATCCTAGTGACCGTGTCTTCCCTTGATCCTCTACAAAGACCCTGTTCCCGTAAGGTGACTTGACAGGTTTTGGAGATTAAGAATTCAACATCTATTTGGGGCCCACAATTCCACCCTTAACAAGTGTGATGGGAACTTCTCTCCGAAATGAGTAAACATAAAGCACCAGCACTGAATACAACAGCTGTCCTCGTCTGGGCAGTGCGGTTCCTGAGAGCTGTCAGCACCAACCCCGGGGAAGCAAAGCAAAGCGTGTGGCCCCCTAATGAGAGTCTGTGGGCTGGCTGGAAAGTCTTCCTCCACCAGCACAGAGATGACTAGAATCACAGACCTGGTTACAGTGAGGTGTATGTGAGCACCTGAGCACATGGCAAGTCTGAGGTGAAGGCAGAGGGGACAGGGCAGAAGGATCAGGCTGTGTGTGAGGACAGTCCTAAGAGGCTTCACTGCAGGAGACATTCATTTGAAAAAAATAACTGTGCCTCCAACCAGCCTAATGCCCAGACGGCTGAACACCATAAACACCATCCCTCCCACACATAGGGGGAGGGCTGGGGCTTGGAGGAGTTGACTCAGTCACTGGGGAAGCTGTTACAAGATGAATGCTTTGTTTTCCTTGCATTTCCTACACCCCTTAATTATGAGCAGTCTACTTAGTCCTGTTATTTAAAGGCAAGCAGAGTGGATAGTCTGCCTGTGGCTCTGTTCACCGGCCAAGTGGACCTGGTAGAATCCCCTGCTTCTTCCTAGAGTTGGGGGACAGTTACAGGAACAGCACCTCACTCAATTGCAGTGTCTAGAAGGAATTCTTCCAGGACTGAGGTTTGATCCTGTCTTACTTTAACTCACTGGTTCTCTTCTACTTTGACGCATTCTTGAAAATATCTAGTCTTTGGGAGCAGAGCTTCTTTCATAGCTTAGAGTCTTGCTCATTGTCCTTGCTTTGTCCTAGCTCTTAAAGGTGTCTGTAATTTCTTTATGTTACCAGCCTTTTTAATGCAGAATTTAAAGATTTAAGAGGTAAGGGTTAACTTGTCCAGCTCTGGTCCCATGTGGGCTGGTTTTCTGGACTATAAGATGGGCTCTAAGAAGGTTCCAAGGAGACGAGTTGGCACAGTGCTTTTAAGGAAATCGATCCTGACCCATTGCAAGGCTTAGCCCCCACTCCCCCGCTCCTGACACAGGAGAGGCACGTGCTCTCTGGACTATGAACGCCAGGGTGGCAAACCCTGCTCTCCGTATGCTCCACACCATAGCTGCGAGCACAGGCAGAGACCGCAGCCCTCAAGCCTCTCCCTCTGGCCCCTGTGCTGATCCTTCCCCAGGAGGGGCTGTACCACCTCAAAGCAGGAATGCTGAGCTGGCAGGACATGGCTGGTATCAAGCCTCTGCCACATCACACTGCCATTCTGTCTGGCCCCCCATCACACCAGGAACTGGACGAGTCTTCCCTGAACATACAAATCCAATGAAGGAGCAGTGGGAGGCCAACACACCTGCGACTGCTCCTGTCTCTGGAAGTTGTCTCAAAGCACTGCTACTCTGGCAGGCCTGCTGTGAGTGACCAATTACCTTGTTAGCATGGCAGCTGTCCCAGCAAACTGGGTGTCCATCCAGGCCCTCACCAGGCCTTCTGGAAGCAAGTCAGGGGACTGAAGATACATTAAAGGCCAACCCTGGAGTGGGAAGAGTGTGCTGGTGGTGTTGTGGTCAGCCTTCAGGATGGCCAGTTAATGACTTAGGGTGGTTCTGGTGTGTGTCTTCCCAACACTACCCTGCCACCAGTGCCCTCTGAACCCTGGCAAACCACATTGAGATAGACTATCTAGAATCATCCACGTCAACGATAATTCTAAGACCTGAACTGAGCAAGTTAACCAGGACAATTCTGCCTTTTTTCAGTCATTGGGAGAACTTGGAACCAATGCTGTAGATCCCGGTGAGCTTTAAATCAATTCCTGTGCTAAAATCACAGATACTGGCTTTCTGAATTGAATGATGTGCACTTCCTGAGCTGCACCTACAATGGTTTTCCCCACCTGTCTTTGGTGAACGTGGTCAGCATCCTGGGCCTGGCACCCAACACCTATTTCTAATCGTTCTCCTGATCTCCCACAAGCAAGTCTGGACTTGAAGCTCATATGGGTTGAAATAGAACAGGTTGCTTCCAGAGTGAGAAAGGATACTTAGAAGCCACCCACTGGAAGTGGGGCAGGGGTGACAGGACAAAAAGCAGACAGAAATTAAGGGTTAACTTGTCCAAGACTGATGCCCCTCCAGGCTGGCCTCCCAGAAAAGAGACTGGCTTTCTGCAATGCTCCATGGAAACCAGCTGATCCTTAGCACTATTAATTCCATCAAAGTCCACTAATTTGATCAAAAGCAAGGTTTGGAGCCAGATTCTAACTCACTGGAAGGGGAAGAAGGGAAGGTTCCGATAGTTGCTCCCTATAAATGCGGATGTGGTCAGCAGCGCACTGGTTTACCAGCCCTCCATAAAGCTGCAAGGCTTGGGCCCCAGGCCCTTGATTGCGCCAGGGGAGGGGCCGGGCCTGCACCCAGTCACTAACACTGACCTGCCAGGAAGGGACTGAAGTTAAGGTTCTGCCACATCTTCGAGTTATTATTGCCATGGCCCTAGATCACCAAGCGAGGAGCCGGTGCTTCCGCAATTGTGTCTTTAAAGAGCCCTCTCTCTCCGAGGGTCTGACATCCGGCCCTGCCAGACCTCTGAATGGGCACAGCTCCTACTGATGCAGTGTCTGAGAGCTTTCTCCAATGACGGCTCATCCTGTTTGTATGATACGATCCTTACAAATAGTTCACAGCTGTGACTGAAGATAGAGCCACCGATTTGCCACAAGTGTTTGTCAGTCTGTGACTACAGCATGTCTGCCACCCCGGCTATAGTCAAAATACTTGACCTGAAGAACGAGACGGCCGGCCCTCGAGTCAACAGCAACCCAGTAGCACTGTACGTGAGACCCCATCTTTACCAGAGGTGGGGAGTAGAACCTGTCTGCTCTGCTTGACTCTGGCCGGGGGCTTGGAGTGAGGCTCTGGTCACATATGTGCCAGTGGGCTGAACATTGGCCCTGACTGCACTCAGGTGCCCAGTCCCTGTGAGTGTGGCTTCTGCTCAAGTTCATTTGCTCTATAGTTCCCTCAGGGTGCTGGAGCCTTGCCCTGGACCACAGCCTGCTCGGTTGGGCCCTGACAACCTGCCTTTGCCATCTGCCGGCTGGTATCCTGCTTTAACCTGAATGGGCACCCCTGGAATCAGGATGCTGCCACCTGCCCCTGAGCACAGCTGCCACCTAGCTGTTGCTGTGAGGCCTCCATTAGCTTGTCTAGACCAATCAGGTCAGATGTGCGGAAGCTACAGCACCTTCACCTCAGGGGGAATCCTACAGCCAGGTGAGTCCCCACTCCACTCCAGCCACCTATTCTTGCTAGTCCTGGTTTAGCCTCCTCATGAAAATCCTACCCGAGACTACAAAAGCTACACAGATACTTTCACCACTGCTAGGTACATCAAATACTCAAAGGCAATCTCTAGCATTTTCATCAACACCCAATCAGTCACTTTATCCATCAGGCAATAAAAGCATGACTCCCAGGGCCTATGAACTGATTAAGGCTATGAACTGATTATGAACTCAAGGCCTATGAACTGGTTAAGGAAATGATTAAGGCCCAGAAAAGAGACTTAAATCTGACAAACAGTAGTTGTAAAGCAAAACAACACAACCTAACTTAAAAATAGCTTCATACATTCTATTTACAGTAGAATAGTTACAACATTCTGTTTACTGTGGAATAAGGGCACGTGTTACTGTGCTGTAGGAGGACATCTAAATGCGAGCGAGCTAAGGATCTCTCCACAGCAGCGCTGCCCTGATCACACCTCCCAAACTCATCCGCTCTCCCAGCCCTCTCTGAAACAGTGTGGGCAACACGGTGCCATGGTTGTCAATCACAAAATTAGAAGTCACTCCGGTATTTTTTGAATGAGTAAATTTTTTTGAATGAGTAAAGTATTCTCTAATTTAATTATTTTGGCAAAATCAAAACTTTTGTGGAAATTGAGAGAACTTTTTGAAGAAAGAAAGAGAATTAGTCATGATAAAAATATCATATTTTTGTATTTACATGTGTATTCTACCCAACCCACTATCCTTACATGAATAATTTTAATTCTTAAATTTCTACATGCCGCCCTTATTAAACCACCATACAAAATATGTTTCTGATCATTTTTGTTGTTGTTTTAGACTTTGGCTTGTCTTAAGGTAACATTAATAACAATTAAGTTATTTTTAAAGGAACATTTCTTTCACGGATGATTATAAAATCACAATGGGGCCATATCTGAGTTATACAGATTTTTCTTGGTTTTTATGTGGGGGATATGGGCACTCAGGAAATCACACAGTGTTCCTTTTTCTCGCCTACTTTTGTGCGTGAGAAACCAAGTTAAAATGAACACACAGGGCCCTGAGAAAGGCAAACAGTACAAAGGGCTCAGCGTGTATGTGAATGCAGGGTGCGTGCAGGGCCGGGGGTGGGGGAGGGGGGAGATGCTTTCTCTCTGCCGCGCTGCGGTGGGGCGCCAGGCCGAGCACTCGCACAGAGAGGGCACATGAGCAACACTGAAGGTGAATCCAGAAGTCACACCCGTTGGCTTCTTCATCTCAGTAACTTACGTTTTTATACCAAAGCCTCGGGTCTTTTTCTCAACCCCCTGGTGCTTTCTGGTTGCCTGGACTCTGACCCTCCAAGGCGCCCAGGGCAGCTGGGCAAATGGCCACTCACCGTCTTCCTCGAAGAGGAGTCCCATGTGCCCGTGCGCCTCGGCTTCTTTCCTCCCGCCGTCGATTTTGATCAGTTGGGCGATCTGAAAACATCGCTCGTAGAAGTGGTTCCTTACCCACTTGTCTTCAGAATTATTGAAGTAACAGGCCAGAGCGTACAGGTTATTATAGACATCTTCAAAGTATCCTTCAAAGAGAGAAGAACATTATACGCTGAATTAGAAAAATGTCTCACGACACATCCCTTCAAATGGCAAACCAAATATACTGATGTTTATTTTCCATTTGTCTTTAAAACATGATTAGCTATTTTAAAAATCAAAATGCAAAAATTAATGTATATTAACTATTAAGATAGTTACATTAATTAAAGAATGAACCCATGAGGAAAGCAACAAAAAAAATCTTTCCCAAAACTTAGAACATGTTAGAAATAGATATATGCTTTGGTTGAAGCACTGGACTTTATATGAGAAAAAAGACAACAGTATCTGCTAGCAGTGTGCTCAGTGCTTTTGAAAGAAATGAGTATGTGGTTATTAACAAATACTTTTACCATCAAAGAATTAAAAAGCATGTAGAGATTCCAGAGAAAGCAATGTTTCTTAATTATGGCAAAAAGGTAATGCAAATGAAGAAAGTAGATGGAATATGAAAATAGCAAGGTTTCTTCACTCAGAGGCAAAACTGTCACGAGGCTTACAAGACAATGAGGATGGCCCCACAGGCTTCATACACTCTCTAGCGCTGCTTCTAGCCATACAACTTACTAGCAATGTTAAGAAAGACCAAGTTTCTATGCTTGTGTTCTATGAGTACCTTTCTCTGCTGAAAATGCATTAGTACTAGTCATCCCTCTCACTCAGACAGTTATTAGTCTATTCATTATTAGTGTCCTGAAGCTCCCCCTTTCCCCTGAAGTGGCATCTGACCTATTTGTACCAAAAAAAATGTATTGACATATTGTGAATCAGTCTTATGTGTCCCACTGCCATCAATCATAAACTCGAACAAAAACATCATGTGCTAAAAAATTGTGTCTCAGTTTTGTAAACTCCATTCTGTTGGTGAATGGAACGAATTCATAATCCTTATGTCTTTTTGCATTTGTACTGAAAGCACAGTTGTGAATATGGTAGCCTCTGGATTACCTTTCCAAGGATTTTTTCCACCACAGCCATTATTATTCACTGGGAAGGATTCCGGGAAGGATTACAATTATGAAAAATGCTTATACATTGCCCACTACCACTGCTACGAGATTATATTGGAGGAGCTCAGGCTGACTACAACCTACAACCAAGGATAACTTTGAAAAACTGTACATAAGTCACTCCAAAGTATCAGAAGAAATTTCTGAAGCCTATGTCATTCTTTTTCATATATTGCTTCCTAATTCCATAGGAAATGAAGGTTTAAAGTAAAACAAAAAGATGTCTCCCTGACACCCTGTTTCTGAAGGAGCTGGGGATTCCGGAGAGTCCTTCTGCAACCGCACAGGTGAACAGGGGAGGACAACCAGAGTCGTTCAGCTAAAAAAGCAAACACTCTCAGCTCAGAACTGACCTCTGCTGCAATCTGCCTTCCCTTCTGAGCCTTTGACCCGAGGTGAGTAGGGCACTCAAGTCTGTTTTCTTACATTTCATGTTCTTTGTCACATTTAGTGATCAGGGAGTTATTTTCTAAAGCTTGGAAGTAAAATACTTCATATCTGCTATTTTAAAAAGCTATATAAAGGGCTTTTAAAAATAATTTTTCCTTTTCCGTAATTAAATCTTAATAGAAAACATTTCTAACATTTCATAAATGAAGTTTTGTTTTTTTTTTAGAATGAGTTATATGGGCTATCAAAATTGCATATTTAAAGACTAGCTGATAGTTAAGCTATTTTATATGGAAAAATAAAGTTTTTTCAGAGTATTAAATATAAAGGAGTATATTCAAGTGTTTAATCTTTGTGTAATCCAAATATATAGCCTCTAACTTTTCCATTATAAGCAGACTTTAAACCCTCCTTGAGTTGTTAGCAGGTGTGTTTATAAGATGAAAATCAATTTTATTGTTGCTTTACTATTTAGGTCAATATTTATGATGCTACCGAAAAAGGAGATTCCATGATCAAATAAATTTGGATGCTGCTCTTGTTAATTTCCCTCTTTTAGTGAACCGCAATAAACATCGGCATGTTCAAGGCTCCGGTAAGTCCGCAATAAACCAACCTGCTTAACATTGATGTTAATTCACATAGACATTCTCCAACTTACTTCACCAGACAATTATTTTTTTTTGTTTGCTTTGCTAAAACCTCTACATCCAGTGACATCATGATTTCGTAGACTCTACCTTGAGTATCTTAGGTAAATGTTGCCAGAAAAAAAATGCTGCTTAACCCTTGATAATAATTTAAAGTCAAGAGCAAATAACATTTGAAGTATCTATCGATTCAGTTGCCATTACCATTGTTGTCATCCCTTCTCTAGCCCCATGGGGCACGAGGCCCTAATCATCATGTTACAGATGGCACAGAGGTCACTCCCAACGATGGGTCACATAAGAAATATTGCTAGGGACAAAGAAACACTTTAACAGATGGAAAATAATCCAAAAAGCAATGACTACCTGACTTTAAACACTTTGCTATAAAACAGAAAATGGTGTTTGGTTAAAATAATTTAAGTAAGTCTAGGTTCTTGCTCTGTAAGCCTCAAGAGACAGAACTGACCCAAGACGACTGTTGTGAGTGCCACAGCACTCAGCACTGTTGAGGAGATGACCTTCACAGCGACTCTGGGGCACCTGTCGTTCCAGTGAGGAGGAATGAGGGTGCTCGGGGGTACGCTGCTTCAGGACAACTGTCTCCAGTCCCAAACCGTATGTGATGGGGTATTGAGGTACTATTCACAGATTTCTACAGACTAGACCAAGTGTGTGTGTGTGTGTGTGCATGCTTTAAGATTAATTCCAGTTAGTAAGAGTGAATGCACCCCTACCCATTTCCTGGGACAGTTCTAACTCCAGGAACAATTTTCCCCCAATAAAGTTTATGTGCTAGTAAATATGAAAAAAATAAAAGTGTTTATATATCCTTCAACTGAAGTGTTTCCAATAATATTTATTGCACTAATTTTAATAGTTCAAACAAGCAAAAGCCACTGCATTTTGAAAGAGATAACTCTGCAGAGCAGTGACTGAGCAAGAGGTAATTTTGTTCCATTTAACAAATGCAACCTTGGTTACCATGAATATATAATACACCACTCAGTAAAGAAAATATTGTCATAACTTATACCACTTATAAGACATTCACTATTATAAAATTTGGACTCTGTTTATTTTTGGAATTGGAGAAACATTTTTTATTTACATCTATAGTTACATTTTTAAAATAAAAGTATAAATTAAAATGACCTCTACCTTAAAATAGACTACTTATCATTTTAGTTTCTTTATAATTACAAAATGCTTAGGATAAGTTTCTCATAGTTATGACATTTTACTAAGTGATGTATTTGGATCATGTTTATTCTACTCAAATTAAAGCCTCTATTTAAAACATTTAGTGAATTTGATGAATCAACTTGAAACTATATCTTGGGCAAATTATATCTTGAACAAGTCTATTTTCAGTGTAAATATCACTTCAGAATTTGGGACTGGTATTAGTATGTAGGGTTTTTTTACAATAGCATTTTTACCTACAACATTTAATCTCTTGAGAAATTATTTGTAAATCACATTTTAAAATTCACTAAAGTGCTCTATTTTTAAAGCCAATTCTACAATTAAATGCTTTCTGTAATACAAGTAACCACCTCCTGTTCACACACCTGCACACACACCCCAGTTCACTTATGGTGCTGGTGGCAGGATTTTTGTGTACCTCGTATTTGTAAGTCAGGTTGCGGCCTGATGAGAAATACATATTGACTCTACTACAGAGGCTGAAAGACTTCTGCTGCCCTTCAGATTTCCCCACTGGAGCATTAAGTAACAAAAAGTTGCCTGCTATTTCCTCATAGAAAGGCCTGAAATGAAATGTAGACATTGTTATGCTGGGGTCTGAGCTTCTTTTTTTTTGAGCCCTGTAATATTTTCAGTCTAAAAGTTGAAAGGAATACTTTTATGTCAAATTCTAGGATTTCCTGTCTTTGATTATATAAAATGACTAATTTCTAATATGTAACTAAGGCAACAATACTTATGGCAAGAATATTGGTATTACAAGAGAGTAAAATATTTTGTTCAATACTTGAAACATAGTGACTTTCAGAAAAAATATTAGGATAAAAAAGGGGACTCTGTTAGACATGATGTGATGGAAGACATAAAATTAGTAATTTTATTCATAATTGTGAATTATAACTTTTCATGTCTTCTCACTATTTACTAACATAAATTTTCTGATTGATATCTGTAAGACTTATTGCTGAAACCTTCAAGCTCCATTATATAAATACTAGAAAATCAGTGTAATTTTAAAATTATAGTGCTCTTTCAAAGTTCCTCCTCGGTGAAGATCAATATCAGATCATATATAAAGAAAAACTTTGGAAGGATTTACAATGAATGATGCAGAAGGTTTTAGTACACTGGAAAGTTTCGGCAGTGTTGCTACGTGCTATTCCTTGCTCCCCCGCTTCAGAGCGCCCTCGCCAGGGTGCTGGTATCTGGGGCGGCCCCGTGATTCAGGGCTCCCTGTCATTCGCTCCGTGAGGATGCTCGGTGGGCTAGGTTGAGCTGTGCCAAGTGGTCTTAACGTTTCAAATTCATACGTGGGAACAACTGGGACTCTTCCCTCCTCTTACCTTTCCTCTCAGCCACCTCAGCCCTGGTCAGGTAGTAGTAGAAGTGATCCAGCTTATCGGGCTGCTCCTCCAGGGGTCTCTGTGACCAGAGGAGGGACCTGCTCCTGGCCCTCTCCCTGAGGGCCTCCCACTTCTCCATCAGGGCGAAGAGCTCGGTGAAGGACTTGTGATAGCCGTCCCGCAGCATGTCCACACAGATGTTCTTCGTGTACGAGTTCTGGTAGCTGCGAATAGAGTCGGAACACCCTATTTTAGTTCTTGAAATCTGCGCGGTGCTTTTAACCCTAGAATACTCAGAGGTTGAATCGTGCTGCCTTTTTCCCCTCGGGGAAAGCACTGAAAACTCTCTTGGCCTCAGACACTCACAGTGGACCAACTTCCCTTTCATGAAGGCTGCCTGTAGTTTCAATGAAACTGTATTATTATACATATATCAGTTCTAGAGCTGAGCTCCCCTTGGTAAGGACAAACAAGCTAGCTGACTGATGTCTTCGTCTGTGTGAGCAGCTATGACAAAATCCTACTGAGTAGCTCATTTACAAAAGAAACTGAGTGCTCACACTTCTGGAGGCTGCAAGTTCCAGATGAAGGCATCGGTGTGGTCACCTGCTGGTGTGGCCCTCTTCCTGGCTTGGGGCTGATGCCTTGCAGCTGTTGTGACCCCACATAGTGGGCGGGGCTAGGGGGCTCTCTGGAGCCTCTTTTACAAGGTGCTAGCCCTTGTAAAGGGCTCCACTCATGACCTAACCACCTCCCAAAGGCCCCACTGACTGACACTTTCAGGGATTTGGGTTTCAACATAAGAATTCGAGGGGTACAAACATTCAGACCACAGCAACTGACAACATCCCAAATCACTCAATATATTTATGAGCCTTTCACCAAAACAAAACAACCAACACGCCAAGCAAAAATTAAACATGTCACTTAGTATCAAGGCAAAGCGCTGTATCATGAATGATTTCACTGTGTGTTATGGAGACTCATTCATTCATTCATTCATTCATTCATTCACACATACTACGTCTACTGAAATTTATTACTAAATATATTTTTTAATTCCTTAAAGTTGTGATTACATTAATGATTTATTAGAATAGCATTTCACTACTAAATAACAAATCATATGCAAAAAGATAAGTTGGCAAATGAATATTCTACTTATTTACTCAAACAACAGCTGGTGAGCTTCATTCTAAGTGCCAGGCACTGTTCTAGACCAAGTAGGTTCAGTGTCCTCAGGTCAGTTCGTATTCTGGCGAGAGAACACAACCCACGAATAAATGTACAAATAATAAATACTGTCCGATGACGAAAACTGCCGCACAGGGAAGAGGGTCATGGGATAACCACTGTGTGTGTGGTGGCCATTATTCCACTAAGCAGGAAATTAGGGGCCAAGCGATTCAGCGTTACGTTACTTATTTTACATTCTTTTTTTAAAAATGGGGGACAATTAAATAGTTAAAACAACGGATTTAATGTGATACTACTTGCCATAAAAATTTCAGCCTGGAGTGCAACTAGCCTAGAATTAGCCCGAACACCCAAGGTCTGATCAGAACACCCAGTCCCACAAAATCTCCCTGGACCTTCTCATCAGGGAAATGTGTATATTGACATAGGCCCTGCCCACGTCGCAGGATTCTGCCAAGGACAAATGAAATGTCATACGTGAAAATGATCTGAAATGCGAAGTCCTGCCCTAGTGGTTCTCAACCTGCTGCCAGGCCACAGCATCACCTGCGGAGTTGAAAAGACAAGCAGAAGCCCTGGCTGGCGTAGCTCAGTGGATTGAGCATGGGCTGGGAACCAAAGTGTCCCAGGTTCGATTCTCAGCCAGGGTACATGCCTGGGTTGCAGGCCATAACCCCCAGCAACCGTACATTGATGCCTGCCTCTCTCTCTCTCTCTCTCTCCGCCCCCCACTCCCTTCCTTCCCTAAAAATAAATAAAATAAAATCTTTAAAATAAATAAATTAAAAAAAAAAAAAAAGAAAAGACAAGCAGAACAAAAACGCCCAGGCCCCAGGAGCAAAGGGTGTCTTATTCATTCGGCGGGCCAGCTTAGCTGAACAACGAAGTACACAAAGAGTGGGGAAGAGGAAGAGGAGGGTGACGACAGAGGACAGTTTTTGAAAAGGCAGGACCCAGATCATGAGGAGACCTCAGAGTCACGGTAAGAAGCTGGGACTCCAGGCTGGAAGTGAGGGGGAGCCGTCCGGGGCACTGAGTCAGGGACGCGACTGGCGGAGACTGCATTGGAGAAAACCCTGGAAGGACTGTCCCAGCAGGACTGCAGCCCTCCCCCATCCGGCAGCAGACGCAGGGCCCCTACTGCTGGAGGGCTGGTCCACAGGGGTAATATGGAAACCGCATTCCTGGGCCAAAAGCTCAAAAGCCACTGTCTCGTCTGAGACAAACAAATTATTTGAAATGGGGAAAAGAGAAGAAATGACCTATTTGAGTTTCTGCCTTCCCGTCGAGATAGAGAGTGTGGAGAAGCAGCAGTGAGGTGCTGCGTCCTCTCTCTCCGCCCCCCGCCCCCTCAATGCCAGTGGCCACGGGAAGGGCTCGTGTGCTGTGAGGCTGTGGTGTAAGAGCTGCTCGCCGGGGGCAGAGGGAGGACCCAGCTGTACCTGGGAGCACAACCAGCACCGCGGGGCTCCTGGAGGAGTCAGGTCAGTGCATTTCCAGAGCAGGCAGAAAGGGAGGGACCAAGTGTATCAGAGATGGGCATCTGTGTGGAACCGCACTGGTCAGAAAAGCACTCCGTTACCAGTAAAACTTGCCTCATGTGGCCTTCAGAACTAGAGGTTTTTATTTCTCACAGCACAAGAGCCTATAGGTAGGCAGCTACTGGCCTTGGTTCAAGGCTCATGCCTCTGGGACTATTTCAACCTTTCGCTCAGGCTTGTCCCCTGCTGGTCACTGGAGGGCCACCAGCTCCAAATGATCATTTCCTCCTCCGTCGAGGCGAGAAAAAAGGGGAGGATGGAGGGGCACCAGCTGTGTCTTTCCCTCTTACAGGGAAAAACATTCCCTGCAACTGCACATGGATGTCTGCTTTGGTTTCGCGGGCCAGAACCCTGCCACGTGGCCGCCCCTGCTGTACGGAGACTAGAAAAAACAAATATCCTGCCTGTTCTGGGGCACATCACCACCCTAAACAACGCTGGAGTTACGTTAGCCAAGAAGAAGGGAGACGGGGAGGTAGACAGGCAGATCGGGGTCTATCACAAGGTCCCAGGTCAGGATCTGGAGTAAATGCTGACAAACCCCATTCGGAGGGCTGCCAGATACAATGGGACAGAGTGCCCGGTTAAACCCGAATGTCACACAGTGGAACTGAAGGAGAGCAGGGGCACAAACAGAAGCAGGTGGACTCAGCACAGAGCTATGAGATCAAGACACTGATCACTCAGGGAAGGAATGGATGTTGGGGTGATGCTGGGCGGGAGGACGGACCAGGTTTTTGGAGTAACTTCATTTGCTAAGAGGGGAACGCAAAAGGGTGAACAGTTTTAGGGAAAGATAAATGAATTTAGGCTCAGAGAACTTGAATTTGAGGAACCTAAAGGGACATCCAAGTGGCACCCCCAAAGGCGGCTCTGGGGTGGTAGAGGCGGTCTCAGAGCACAAGGGGCTGGAAGCCCAGCCTGGCTTCAAACAAGCACTGACGCTTCCATAGTTCACACACCGGCTGCCCAGCATGCTCTCCTGTGAGTGGAGACAGAGCATTCTGGAGCAAAAGTAAAGAATGTTACACATTAATAAATATTAGAATGTTGATTTTAAACAACAAAAACAAACACTGGACATGAGGCCACCTCAGTTCTAATTGCAACGGGGACAGAAACGCGGAAAATCACTCTGGGAGCCTCATTCCCCTCCCCTGGAGGAGGAGGCTGCTTCGGGCGGATCCGGGGCTCCCTGCCCTGCCGAGCCCTTTCGACACGGCTGCTCCCGAGCTGTGTGTCTTCCAGGCTGGGCCTGATTTCAAAGACTCCCTAGCCATGGGGTGGGCCAGTGACCAAAATTAAGGCACTGGCCTTTCTCCCAAGGTTTTGGATCTTGAGGCAAGAAACAGGACAATGCGGAAGGTCGTTGGAGTACAAGCAACCTGGCGGCGACATCCTGAGAAGAGTCTCAAGCAGATCTTGCTGCCTAGACCCATTCATACGTCCCGCGTCTTGTCCTTTCCTCTGAGCTGATTCTCCCCTAGGCTCAGTGAGTTACCTGATACCCCTCCCATAAAATCACTCCCACTTTGTCTGGTCAGAACCAGCTTCTGCTGTCTCTGACCAAAGAACACAAACCAGATTCAGAAGGTTCTGTGGCCTAAACTGGTTTCCGAGACGGCTTTCAGCCTCAAAACTTCTACAATATACAACTAATAGCAACTTTTAAAATTTCAAGCATATTTTAAAAACAGACCTTTCTTTAAAGAAAAGAGATTTCAGGTAGTAATGGAATTGTATTTTCAAATGCATTATGTTACTAGGCTGATAGTATCTCTATTTTACAAATGTGTGTTTGTGTAGACACACGCAAATGTGTCATCGTTTAAGCCTCATTACTAATATCTGAGAGCAAGGAAGAGTACTGTAGTGAACTGTTAAATAGGTTTAAGTAGGAACCTAAGTTTAAATAGTTATGACCTAAACTGTTATAGTTAATGCAAATAATTCCTTTTAACTGCAATAGTTTTCATGTATTACAACAAACTAGGTATCTGAAAATAAAAATATGTTAACTTCCACCATTACATGTGTATTTCTCAGGCTTTATATGTCATAACAGAGAACCAAAGTTCACTCACTTTATGAAAAAGGGATTTTTTAAAATACAAACAGAGATATACACAGAATACAAATTCACTATTTTATTTATTTCATTTGGACATACAGTGTTTAGTCTCTGGCTTCATTTACATATTAAAACAAATATTACTCTAAGCTCAAATATGTTCTTTCTAAATATCAGGAGAAGAAAAGTTCCCTTGACCTGAAGTCAGTCTACGGGGTGAAAAGGGAGAATCTGGAAAAACTTAAGGAGAGGTTTGATAATGTGCGATTGGAGAGGAGTTGTCCAGACAGAAAACATGCCAGTCATCGAAGCAGAGGTTGTGACACTCAGGGATGTGGGGGGGGGGGGGGGGGGCGCATCGTAAATCTACATCCCACGGAAGCGCCGGGCCCTGCAGCCCGAGGCTGCCCTGAGC